TGGCAGTTTGTGGCGATACCATACACCGCTTGCGATAACATCATATAAACTCGCATTGATTCTTTTCGCTAGACTCAGTGTTTTGTTTTGTCCACTGTCAAAACGCCATCAGCCCACATTCGGCGCTTCCCATCCTGCCAATGTTCTGGTTTGTTGAATTTTGTCATGCCTCATGACTCATGATGCGGCGATAGACTTGCGCATACGAACGAAAAATGCCGCGAATAACCGATCTTCAATATACCAGGAGTTAACGGTTAAACGCATACCAAGCGATCATAACATGAGAACACCCGTTTTCGTTTCAACCCAGTGCTCATGGTCACAAGTGTGACTCGCTTTTCACGGGTCAAACACGAAGACATAAAGACATTAAGAGATCTGGCCAACAAAGAGCCACAAAGACCCATCGAGGTTGGCCTATCTCAGGTTCTGTACACATCCTCGAAACTAATCCTACCACCTGCCCTGCATGAACTTCGCTATAAATGAGATCCTTAGACCGATAGAATTTGTCCAAACCGTTTTTGAACGTCGCTAGAGAGGGGCTTTCTACAACTCCGTTCATCAACCCATTCCAATGGTTCACTTCTTTTTGACTAAATGGCATCTGCCTCTTCATAGTTCTTCTCCCACGTTTGCTAAATGAAACTGGTTTCCTCTATGTTTCGGCCTAATTTCCAGGGCTCAATGTAGATCTACCGTGTCTGTCGCTTTCATAATATTGTATGCCTCTATCCGCCCCCCCCCCCCAAGTCTACCATATTTCGGTGAATACAAATCCAAGGCGCTAAGCCTATTCTTATGTTCTAAGTCGCCAATCCCATTTATAATCCTGGTTGTTTTTTGCTGCACTCTTTCGAGTTGATCTACATCTTTTTGGAAGCATGGGACCAAGCGTGTGTACAAAACTCTTGGCGCGGTTTGACATTAACAAGTACAACCTTTTGACAATATTCCTACTCTTGTAATGGACATTCCTGTTAATAAGTCCCAGCATCCGAAGTGCCTTACTCCCAGCAACCCCACACTGTTTTTCACCCTTTAGATCCCGAAATTATAACCCTTAAGTCCTCTTCCTCGATCTGGTCTAACTCTTCGCCTCCCATTTCATAGCTAATATCCTCACTGCTAAAATTATATAACTAAATCACCTAATACGCATCACAATTGAATGACATCTGGCACAGAGAAGCTCAGTTACAAGTTAATTTAAGTCAAGTTGAATTCGTTTCACCTAATCTTATTTTTCGACAGTCCTATCAATTCAATATCGCCAGCAAATATTAGCACCTTACTCACTAATCCTATCTTAGCGTCATTCACAAAAGTAGTAAAGAGCAAAGAGCCCAATGCCCACCTCTGTGTAACCCGACTCTCTACTAGCGCCCAGTGATATTTTGTACCGTTTTTGTACCCTTCGTTTCCTTACAACATCCAAACCCTTAGCCGGCCAATAATTTTCACTGAATACCACGCAATTTTAATTGATATAGGAGACGTTAGCGTGGCACCTTATCAACCGTTTTACTAAAATCGAGATCCACAACACCTAAGCTACTGCCTTCATCTATCTAACTTATAACATGCCCCGTTAACGCTAAGATATGCCAAACAGGACATACCAAAATATGCATACGATTCGGGCAAAACGTAGTTCAGGAATAAGAATGAAACGGTCCAGGATTGTTAAGCGGGGATTTCGCTGAGACGCGTTTCCGGCCAAATGAAGCGTGACAAGAACTCACGTTGAGAAATTGCTGTCAGACGCTGTCCCCGTTTGCTTCGCTTTTTCCGTCCCGCTGGTGCTCTTGTTTGTCTTGTTGCTTTTTTAAGACGAAGTGAAAGCAAAACATGCAAATGTTCCGGCATATTCTTGGCACTTAATAGTCTACCGCGATCTTTGTTATCCTTATTTGTTATGCATGGCTCTAACTAATACGGCATATCAACACGAGACATGTTTTAACACATGATTATGCAACCCAGTCTAAATTCAGGCCATTTACGCATAGTTGCATAATACCCCAACATGAGAATAAATCGTCGGGGCCACACAAGCTGCATCTGAATTTGCCGTCACACGTAATTGTTCGCAAACCGCGCTACCTATCCATTATGTCTGCAGATTCTGAAGAAGTGCGCATTACGACGCTTAAGCGTAGAATAACGCCGTACACTTGAGGGCGATACTCTGCTGTGCACTGTCGTGCGGTGAAGTTCTGGGATAGATTTGCGTTGTAGGAAGCCTGGTGTGATACGCATGAATAGAATACCAGAACTTCGGGATGTGCCAGCTATCCCTCAACTTTAAATTGCTGTCACGATTTATTGGACGTTGGTTATATTAAATCAGAGGCCGCTGGTTGAAGATGTTAAGAGCTCTGAACATAACATCATGCGATGACCATTTTCCCTAACAAACCTTTGCAACAAACCCTCAGAAGATCACGAGACCGCAAATTTGTCACTTTTATTTTCGAATATCATGTTAAGGTAGCATGATAATAAAGAATATCAGGAGTATAACTCCGAAAACCTCGTACAAATTGACGCCACCCGATGTTCAGGCATATCCTCAGTGGTCAAAGGTATCCGGTAGTTTTCGCTCAAACTGTGCTTTCGCTTTGGCCCCTGCCACACTGCAGTCACATGTGACGTCATTGCCACCCAGCGCGGACCGCCAGACTTGACACCATCGCCGCCATTCGTGGAGCCGTCATATGTGACGTCACCGCCGTCATTTGTGGAGCCGCCTGATGTCACCCCAATTGCCAGTCGGCCGTCGGACCCGTGAACACCTTCAGATGTACGCCGATGTGTACTACACCACCGATTAGGTGCAGCCGACAGCCGCTGGTCCTGCTCAGTGCAGGTGGGACGCCCGGTGAGGTGCTGCGACATGTCTGGCTGGCCCCAGTGTGGGGCCGTCGGGGGCCTCCGCCAAATCACTGCCGTGCAGGTCGTCCGTCAGCCCGTCCTTGTAGATCCGCTAACAGCCGGCACCGGAGCGTCTGGGTGCAAATGTCGGGGCCCGGGCAGGCTGACGGGCGAGGATAGGTCGCCGCTCGCGAGACGGATCAACCTATGACCACCGTTTTCAGCGTTGCGCCGCCGCTGACCAGGTCCGGCAGCACATCTCCGTGCTCGCCCTCTGTCGCTGTCCCGCCGGCAGACTGGTCGGCCCTGCCCTGCCTCCCCATGCCGCGTGCCCAAGTACCCACTGGAGGATCACTTGCCGGGCTAGGTCGCCGGTCTAGCACGCTGTCGGTCTTGTCAGATGACACGAGCGATTGTACGTTGGCATGACCGATACGTAGCCGTTTGCTGGCTTGTGATGCACTCAAGCCGTCAGCAGGTAGACGAGACGGGCACGAGCAGTGACCTAGACTTGCCGACTTTGGGTGTAAAGCAACACCCTATGAGGAGAAATTTTTAACTCCTTTTCCCCATGTTTTATGTGAATTTTCACTCCTGCCTGACACTGTCTAATCGCACATGCCAAACCCCTATTTCCCTTTCTGAGGTTTTCAGATGTTATCCAACACCGAGCTCACTTGATATCACCAAGCATAAACGAGGCTCCACAGAACCTGGACACCTCTGGCTATGCCCTACCTCACCTACATCTGAATCATGTCTATGCATGTACAGAGCACAGGCGCCAGGTACCTTCAAGTCCAGGAACCCCAGCGACTCCAGCCGCTTGCACGCATTAAGTTTGGTTTGTTTACAAAATGTATCACAATCGGCAGCTGTGTGCCAAATGCAATGTTTTCATGCATCCCCTGTTTTTTTAGTCTCACCACCACACCACGAAAGCGGAGCCTGGTGCAAACACTAGCAAGGCCTGGTAGAGAATTTTACTCCACGTACTTTTTTCGCGAGGAAACTTGATCACTAAATTGCACCACTCTCGAAATGCGGGAGTGAAAAGTTTAAGAAATGTCTTCTAAATTAAATTTACAAGACGAATATCACCATTTGAGCACTTATGTTAACAGGTTTTAAGTCAAATCACCTGATAACACAATTTTTCCAGAAAAGTATCAGTTTTTATATTTAATCAGCTACTTTTGTTGTTCTTGGCACTATACGAGTGTGACACCACTTTATTCTTCCTTCCTTTTTCATTGCCTTTATAGGTACCATCTGTTGCTTAAAATGTTGACCAATTTCTCTGCAAGATGCTCCAACTTCAAACTCGTATGTATTTCATACATAAATTGGATTAATTCGCCAGCCGCCCAAACATGTTTGATACGCACCCAAGAGTGAACGATTCACAGGGAATAAAGGAGAAAATTTGAAGCACGGAACTTACTTTTAACGACATTTTTGCCCCGTTAAACCCTTGGTTAACAGTTTTCTTGGTTCATGGCGGTGCTCAATAATGATAAATCTAAGCCTTTCGGGTGTCCAACTCGCCAGGCTGCCTGACAAGGCTATCCAAATGCTGCTATACAGAGCTTTGGGACAGACCTGACGCAGCTAATACCGAAGTGTTTGATGGCGAAATTCTGCCCTCTGGAGATGTTTACCAAGCACACCTCTTACTTGTTTCGCATCTTAATCTCGTAGGTTGGCGGGCATGATTGATATTGGGGGTGAGTGGGATGACTCTGTCTGCCAGCAGACCATGCAAAAGGTACTGACTTTTTGTTTTGGGGGAGCAGGAAGAAGCCAATAAGTCTCCTGTGGACCAAGTAATTGCTTACCTTACATGCTTTCAACACATGATTAGTAGCCAGAGTTATCCATTTTCTGTTTTAATCCATCCAGTTTTGTCATAAGACAAATTATGATGTCACAAGGCATGCAAAGGGCTTATTTTGTTCCATATTCTTTATTGTTTGCCCCAAATGTCTTAAAGTGTACCCTCGTGGCTCCTTCAACCAGATGTTCTCTAAAGTTGTCATGGTTTGCTGACTGGCAAATGAGTGTATTGTATAAAGGCACTATCTTTTTAACACAGGGATACTCTAAGCTGCATGGTAATTATAACATGAGCTAAATATTAATATGTAACAAATAGTCAGACCAACCCATTTAAAATGTGCAGCCAACATCTCAAACTTTGTCATTAAATATGAATGAACAAGCCTAAATAGATGTCTGCTGCAGCTGAAAAGGCAAGCAGCAATACTGGCATGGTCATCTAAAAGTTACGTTACTTTTCGAGAAGAGAGATTGTTTTGTGGAACATACCCATTACTGCCCTTGACATAGGTTAACGTTTCTTGATGTCAACAAACATACACAAATGAACTGAATAAAAGTGCATGTTGAAACCAGCCAAAAATTTGCTTTATCATGTTTGTATTACAAGTGCTGCTGTCAACGGATAGGTGAGTTGAGATGATGTCCAATATATGGGCTACTCTAAGTTACATTAAGTTGGTTAAGTGCATGGCAAGTGGCAATAGGAATTGTGCAAAAATCAGTAACTCACAACTGCTGCTGTGACACAAACAGGTTAGACAGGATGAGATGAAGTAAGGCCTCTTTAGGTTAGGCATAGTTAGGCTACTTTCATGGAAACAAACATTGGTGTTTTGCAAGAAACAGTGACAAAATGTTTGTTTTCCCTGACCCCATCTTAACAGAAGCCAGACGTATGTCTATTATGTTTGCCTTGGTGATGGGCTGATGTGCAGGAGTCCAAGGTTTTTTTGTTTGAGTGTTTTATGGTTGCTGAATCTTCTGTTGTTATTTTGTTATTGAATTCCTTTGCTTTGTTTCGTGTTAAAAGTGCTGTGGAAGGTAAGAACAAAGTGCGGCACCAAATTATTGGTGTTAATAATTTTTATGCTCATCACACTGTCATAAACTTACGATGCTTTAGTGTATTCTGTCTCACCGTAATGGCCCAAGATGTTAAAAAACAAAACAGTTTTGTCAGGTTTCTGATATTATGTCCATGCCAACTTGAAACAGATGTCTTTGTTTGCTAGAACACCAGTCACGAGATCATAAGTTTCATCTTTTGTGAATTGGTTTGTTCACTCCTGCGCGGTCTTTTTGGGACGGAATTTTTCACTCCCACCCTAGTTCAAAAGCGATTCTAGCTCCCTGGTTGCTGTACCGAGCCATGAGCCGACCGGTCTGCACCTCAACCCCTGACATGTTCGTACCGCACCACTCGGCCGCAGTGGAGCCGCGGAGCCGCGCGCCCCTGCGCCACTCACCGATCTCGGCCTCGAACGGCAGCCGGTACTGCGGCACGTCCAGGCCCTGGTAGAGGTCGGCGCAGCGCGTAGCCATCTCCCAGAGCACCAGCGCCATGGCGTACATGTCCACCTGCTTGAGCGAGGTCTCGCAATCGCGCAGGTTCAGCGCCCCCTCCAGCACTTCGGGCGCCATGTACCGCAGCGTGCCCACCTGGAGAAAGGGCACAGACGGTATGTCAGCGTGGGTACGACTGACACCGAGGAACACAGAGGTCTCGACAAGGACACGGCTGATAACTGCGTCCACGCAGTGTGATCACGGAACACAAACCACATAGCAACATGGATACATATGGACACATGGTCCTAACGGCCCTACGTGAGTCAACCGGGGGGGGGGGGGTCAGTACTCATGTCTGTCAGCTGGGGTCAGAGCTCACGTCTGCCAGCCGGAGCCAGTACTCACGTCTGTCAGCCGGGGTCAGTTCTCACGTCTGTCAGCCGGGGTCAGTTCTCACGTCTGTCAGCTGGGGTCAGCACTCACGTCTGTCAGCCGAGGTCAGTACTCACGTCTGTCAGCCGGGGTCAGTTCTCACGTCTGTCGGCCGAGGTCAGTTCTCACGTCTGTCAGTCGGGGTCAGTTCTCACGTCTGTCAGCCGAGGTCAGTACTCACGTCTGTCAGCCGGAGGCAGTACTCACGTCTGTCAGCCGAGGTCAGTTCTCACGTCTGTCAGCTGGGGTCAGTTCTCACGTCTGTCAGCCGGGGTCAGTTCTCACGTCTGTCGGCCGAGGTCAGTACTCACGTCTGTCAGCCGAGGTCAGTACTCAAGTCTGTCAGCCGAGGTCAGTTCTCACGTCTGTCAGTCGGGGTCAGTTCTCACGTCTGTCAGCCGGGGTCAGTACTCACGTCTGTCAGCCGAGGCAGTACTCACGTCTGTCAGCCGAGGTCAGTTCTCACGTCTGTCAGCCGGGGTCAGTTCTCACGTCTGTCAGCCGGGGTCAGTTCTCACGTCTGTCGGCCGAGGTCAGTACTCACGTCTGTCAGCCGAGGTCAGTACTCACGTCTGTCGGCCGAGGTCAGTACTCACGTCTGTCAGCCGGAGGCAGTACTCACGTCTGTCAGCGAGGTAGTTTCGGCGTTCTGTTCCTCGCCGTTGGTGAAGTACCGTCCGCCGCTGATCTTCATGGCGAAGCCGAGGTCGCAGATGCAGCAGGAGCCGTCGGCTCGCACCAGGATGTTGCGACTGTTGACGTCCCTGTGCGCCACGGCCGGCTTGACGAGGCCTGCGGCGGCGGCGGCGACCGCTCTGTCACACGGGTCACGGGCGCGGCATCGCGCTCAGTCACAGACACGTCGGCATCCGCTGCTGGCAGAGCACAGCGATACGACAAACGCCGGTCACGCTGAGATGCGGCAGCCGGTCATCAAATACACGGCCACGGCACAGGAAAGGAACAGCAGTTACACAGCCACAGCAGCGACAGAAGCTCAGGTGTTCCACCTGCTCCGTCACAGCACAAGGAAACAGTTCACGATCCGTCGGGGTTAGTAAGTCAGTTATTGAGTTTAAAGGGCGCATCAACTGTATTAGTTAGTTGCGCCCATGTCTTATTGTTAAGAACCTATGTCAACGTAACTATAATCAGAACTATGTCAGCAGACTGTCATCAATGTCTTAGTCACTCAGGCTATTGCACCGCCAATGACCACATGGGTGGCGTGCGCCGTAATAGTGCTGACAAGAAAATAATAGTACACCAAGCCAGGTGGCAAGCAACACAACACGGCATAGACGCATTGTTACGGTGCTAGGAAGTGCGAAGGCGAGAACGCTCATCCCTGACCCCTATGGGTGTGTGGAGGCGGGGGGGAGATATCTGTATCACACGCGCATGCGCACAGCGCGCTGGCGAGCGTGCCTGGTGGCGGTTATCTCCTGTCATCGATTGGCACCTAGAAGTGATCACCTCAGCGCTCCGATGCCGAGCCAGTCTCACCTCTCCGCTCGATGCGTACGTGCAGGTGAGCGCGCTGTGAGAAGCCCCAGTCTCACACCCACGCTCAGTGGCGTGTGCAGGTGAGCGCGCTGTGAGAGGCCCCAGTCTCACCTCTGCGCTTGATGGGCGTGTGCAGGTGAAGGCGCCACAAGAGGCCCCAGCCTCACACCCGCGCTTGATGGGCGTGCGCAGGTGAGGCGACACAAGAGGCCCCAGTCTCACCCCTGCGCTCGATGTGCACGTGCAGGTGAGTGCGCTGTACGAGACCCCAGTCTCACCTCTGCGCTTGATGGGCGTGTGCAGGTGAAGGCGCCACAAGAGACCCCAGTCTCACCTCTGCGCTCGATGGGCGTGTGCAGGTGAGTGCGCTGTACGAGACCCCAGTCTCATCCCTGCGCTCGATGTGCACGTGCAGGTGAGTGCGCTGTACGAGACCCCAGTCTCACCTCTGCGCTCGATGGGCGTGTGCAGGTGAGTGCGCTGTACGAGACCCCAGTCTCACCTCTGCGCTCGATGGGCGTGTGCAGGTGAAGGCGACACAAGAGGCCCCAGTCTCACCTCTGCGCTCGATGGGCGTGTGCAGGTGAGCGCGCTGTACGAGACCCCAGTCTCACCTCTGCGCTCGATGGGCGTGTGCAGGTGAGCGCGCTGCACGAGACCCCAGTCTCACCTCTGCGCTCGATGGGCGTGTGCAGGTGAGCGCGCTGTACGAGACCCCAGTCTCACCTCTGCGCTCGATGGGCGTGTGCAGGTGAGCGCGCTGTACGAGACCCCAGTCTCACCTCTGCGCTCGGTGGCGTGTGCAGGTGAGGCGCCACAAGAGACCCCAGTCTCACCTCTGCGCTCGATGGGCGTGTGCGGGTGAGCGCGCTGTACGAGACCCCAGTCTCACCTCTGCGCTCGATGGGCGTGTGCAGGTGAGCGCGCTGTACGAGACCCCAGTCTCACCTCTGCGCTCGATGGGCGTGTGCAGGTGAGCGCGCTGTACGAGACCCCAGTCTCACCTCTGCGCTCGATGGGCGTGTGCAGGTGAGGCGACACAAGAGGCCCCAGTCTCACCTCTGCGCTCGATGGGCGTGTGCAGGTGAGTGTGCTGTACGAGACCCCAGTCTCACCTCTGCGCTCGATGGGCGTGTGCAGGTGAGGCGACACAAGAGGCCCCAGTCTCACCTCTGCGCTCGATGGGCGTGTGCAGGTGAGTGTGCTGTACGAGACCCCAGTCTCACCTCTGCGCTCGATGGGCGTGTGCAGGTGAGCGCGCTGTACGAGACCCCAGTCTCACCTCTGCGCTCGATGGGCGTGTGCAGGTGAGTGCGCTGTACGAGACCCCAGTCTCACCTCTGCGCTCGATGGGCGTGTGCAGGTGAGTGTGCTGTACGAGACCCCAGTCTCACCTCTGCGCTCGATGGGCGTGTGCAGGTGAGGCGACACAAGAGGCCCCAGTCTCACCTCTGCGCTCGATGGGCGTGTGCAGGTGAGTGTGCTGTACGAGACCCCAGTCTCACCTGTGCGCTCGATGGGCGTGTGCAGGTGAGCGCGCTGTACGAGACCCCAGTCTCACCTCTGCGCTCGATGGGCGTGTGCAGGTGAGGCGACACAAGAGGCCCCAGTCTCACACCCGCGCTCGGTGGCGTGTGCAGGTGAGCGCGCTGTACGAGACCCCAGTCTCACCTCTGCGCTCGATGGGCGTGTGCAGGTGAGTGCGCTGTACGAGACCCCAGTCTCACCTCTGCGCTCGATGGGCGTGTGCAGGTGAGCGCGCTGTACGAGACCCCAGTCTCACCTCTGCGCTCGATGGGCGTGTGCAGGTGAGCGCGCTGTACGAGACCCCAGTCTCACCTCTGCGCTCGATGGGCGTGTGCAGGTGAGGCGACACAAGAGGCCCCAGTCTCACACCCGCGCTCGATGGGCGTGTGCAGGTGAGTGCGCTGTACGAGACCCCAGTCTCACCTCTGCGCTCGATGGGCGTGTGCAGGTGAGCGCGCTGTACGAGACCCCAGTCTCACCTCTGCGCTCGATGGGCGTGTGCAGGTGAGTGCGCTGTACGAGACCCCAGTCTCACCTCTGCGCTCGATGGGCGTGTGCAGGTGAGCGCGCTGTACGAGACCCCAGTCTCACCTCTGCGCTCGATGGGCGTGTGCAGGTGAGTGCGCTGTACGAGACCCCAGTCTCACCTCTGCGCTCGATGGGCGTGTGCAGGTGAGCGCGCTGTACGAGACCCCAGTCTCACCTCTGCGCTCGATGGGCGTGTGCAGGTGAGCGCGCTGTACGAGACCCCAGTCTCACCTCTGCGCTCGACGGGCGTGTGCAGGTGAGGCGACATAAGAGGCCCCAGTCTCACACCCGCGCTCGATGGGCGTGTGCAGGTGAGTGCGCTGTACGAGACCCCAGTCTCACCCTCTGCGCTCGATGGGCGTGTGCAGGTGAGGCGACACAAGAGGCCCCAGTCTCACCTCTGCGCTCGATGGGCGTGTGCAGGTGAGCGCGCTGTACGAGACCCCAGTCTCACCTCTGCGCTCGGTGGCGTGTGCAGGTGAGCGCGCTGTACGAGACCCCAGTCTCACCTCTGCGCTCGATGGGCGTGTGCAGGTGAGGCGACACAAGAGGCCCCAGTCTCACCTCTGCGCTCGGTGGCGTGTGCAGGTGAGCGCGCTGTACGAGACCCCAGTCTCACCTCTGCGCTCGATGGGCGTGTGCAGGTGAGGCGACACAAGAGGCCCCAGTCTCACCTCTGCGCTCGATGGGCGTGTGCAGGTGAGGCGACACAAGAGGCCCCAGTCTCACCTCCGCGCTCGATGGGCGTGTGCAGGTGAGCGCGCTGTACGAGACCCCAGTCTCACCTCTGCGCTCGATGGGCGTGTGCAGGTGAGGCGCCACAAGAGACCCCAGTCTCACCTCTGCGCTCGATGGGCGTGTGCAGGTGAGCGCGCTGTACGAGACCCCAGTCTCACTTCTGCGCTCGATGGGCGTGTGCAGGTGAGGCGACACAAGAGGCCCCAGTCTCACCTCTGCGCTCGGTGGGCGTGTGCAGGTGAGGCGACACAAGAGGCCCCAGTCTCACCTCTGCGCTCGATGGGCGTGTGCAGGTGACGCGCGCTGTAACGAGACCCCAGTCTCACCTCTGCGCTCGATGGGCGTGTGCAGGTGAGGCGCCACAAGAGACCCCAGTCTCACCTCTGCGCTCGATGGGCGTGTGCAGGTGAGCGCGCTGTACGAGACCCCAGTCTCACCTCTGCGCTCGATGGGCGTGTGCAGGTGAGGCGCCACAAGAGGTCCCAGTCTCACCTCTGCGCTCGATGGGCGTGTGCAGGTGAGGCGACACAAGAGACCCCAGTCTCACCTCTGCGCTCGATGGGCGTGTGCAGGTGAGGCGCCACAAGAGGCCCCAGTCTCACCTCTGCGCTCGATGGGCGTGTGCAGGTGAGTGCGCTGTACGAGGCCCCAGTCTCACCTCTGCGCTCGATGGGCGTGTGCAGGTGAGCGCGCTGTACGAGACCCCAGTCTCACCTCTGCGCTCGATGGGCGTGTGCAGGTGAGGCGCCACAAGAGGCCCCAGTCTCACCTCTGCGCTCGATGGGCGTGTGCGGGTGAGGCGCCACAAGAGGCCCCAGTCTCACCTCTGCGCTCGATGGGCGTGTGCAGGTGAGTGCGCTGTACGAGACCCCAGTCTCACCTCTGCGCTCGATGGGCGTGGGCAGGTGAGGCGACACAAGAGGCCCCAGTCTCACCTCTGCGCTCGATGGGCGTGTGCAGGTGAGGCGACACAAGAGGCCCCAGTCTCACCTCTGCGCTCGATGGGCGTGTGCAGGTGAAGGCGCCACAAGAGGCCCCAGTCTCACCTCTGCGCTCGATGGGCGTGTGCAGGTGAGTGCGCTGTACGAGGCCCCAGTCTCACCTCTGCGCTCGATGGGCGTGTGCAGGTGCGCCAGCCCGCTGACGGCCGTCATGGCCATGCGGCACATCTGCTGGAACTGCAGCGTGTTCTGGCAGAGGAAGTCGTGCACGGTGCCCTGCGGCACGTGCGACAGCACCAGCAGGTACTCGGTGCCCGCCTCGGTCACGCGCTCGTCGCGCCGTACAGGTGCGCCAGGCTCGGGTGTGTCCATCCAGGGCAGCGAGTAATGTCGCGCTCCGACATGAAGTAGTGCCGGTACCAGGCCGGGAAGATCTTGACGCAACGTCCTCGCCGTACAGCAGGCCTTTGCGACGGAGCCGTAGCGACCGCGGCCTGGGGGCGCCGACAAGCCTTTAGGAGCCGCGAATCGCACGCCCGCGGCGTGCACGGACAGACACGCACATGCACCCAACCTCTCCTTTGAAACTGATCTATT